ATTTTCAATAAGCAATCCTGAAAAATATTTGGGGGTGCTTAACTTTTTTCCAGGTGTATATTTAGTGCTATTATTTTTGTGGTATTATTGGCATTACAGTTGTCTTAACCATTGTCTTATAGTTTGCATACTAAACATTGTACCTGTTTTAAATGTATTCTTCCTTACTGTAAATGCTGTAACTTGTAACAAAATAAATTTATAAAGACTTTCATTCAAAACTTTTCTCTGAAGTGGAAGAGTGTTACTGAGTTCCAAGTTAAATTAATAACTGATTCTCTTTGTTCAAACCTGTTTATAAGCTACCTGTAAGCCTCAGTATTCTCTCCTTCACTGTTTTATGAGAACAGTTTTGATGATCAGAGATAAATTGCCAAAAGTAATTTCTTTTTGCAATTTCAGTTTTATGGTTGGTATTTCAAATCACTGATATCAAAATGTTCTGATTATCTGGCCATTTTTCATAGTGAAGTTGTGTAATCAGAAAAGGGGATGTACACAGGAATTTATTTTTTCTAGTGAGAATAAACCTGTGTTCTGATTCCATTATCAGGTATGAAATTGTGGAGCTTAATGGAGAATATAAAACCATCTTAGTTAGAAATGTCAAGAAAAGACTTAGTGTTTGTATGTGACAGAATTTGTCTTGATTAGTTAGGATTTGTCAAAAAGAGACTTAATGTTTGCATATGACACAATTTGGCTTGTCATGTATTTTATCTTTAATGTTACATCATTTTTTTAATTAAATATTCAAAGCAATTATGTATTAATTGATAGTGAAAAATCCTTAATAAATCTTTATCTGGAATACATAATCTTTCAGATGACAATTTATAAGTATTTATCTGAAATTATTTTTATATCCTTATTTTAATTTGTGTAACAATGCCATCAAAGTGAGTCCAGAGCAGGCTGTACATTTGCTGTATTGCTTTGTGTAACAATGACATCAAAGTGAGTCCAGAGCAGGCTGTACATTTGCTGTATTGCCAGAAACAATTTTGTTTTGTTTCTCCAAAATACAGGAATGACAAAACAGAATACAAAATCCAGAGTGTTGAAAGAGTATGATAAAAACTTGATACCTTATATTAGATGTGTAAGATATGAAATATGATATGCTATAGAATTTTATTAGCAGAGATAAACTTAAGGTTGCAGAGAACTTAAGTGACGAACCTATGTTTTTTTTTCAGATTAATTTGGACACTATTCTTCCCCATGTCAACTTGGTGAGAATGCTAGGGCCAGACTGGGATTTGTATGTGATGACATTTTTAGCAGTTCTGCTTGGTGTGTTGGTTTATCTGAGACAAGCACCTCCACCTCAAAATCAGTGATTCCCTATTGTGTCTCTTACAAAAAAAAAAAAAACGTGCTAAATGTGTTGCTGTTATCACTTGCTGTTATGTAGCCAGGATGTAATAAATACTTTTTTTGAAATAAAATACTCAAAGTAGTGTCTTAGTTGTAATTTTGATACTGTGATAAATCTCATATTTGGACATTTCTTTTACTTGCTACGTACAGCAGGTACAGTCAGTTATACACGATTGTTAAAAGGAGATTTTGCTTTTGGGATGATTATTTGACATTATTTCATATAATCAGTATATAAGAAAAACTTTTTAATATTTAAGCCCATAAAAGTGGCATTACTGTTGTGTCACAAACAAATTATGTTTGGGACGGGTAGACGTTGACTTCTATATTATAAGAAGTAACAAGTGGCTGGTACATATGCAAGTTTAACACATACTAGAGTAGGTTTATTTAAAATTACCAATACATTAACTGTTTTTTAAGGTTTATCCATACTTCAACAAGAAGATGATTATGTGATTTATGAATTGATTTTTTTTTCAATTTCAAACAGCTGTTAGTTGATATTAGATCAAAGTTGCTCTTCATCTCCATAATGATTTTAAACTTCAAGTTGAAGAAAATTAGGTCAGAAAGCGCCCAAGTCTTCTACAATATATTTAAGCAACAATTTAGCCAGTAAGTGCTATTTGTGCCACCAGGTATCAGCACGATATTTTTATATTTAAGTACTCTTGCTAAAGAGAAAACTTCAATAATAAGTATGCATGACGTGAAATTAATTCTGCTTTTACCAGTACGTTGTTTAATGTTATACAGAAACAGTTAAAATATTTTTTTCATCCTAAACTTGAATGCATCAAAACTAAAATAACGGAAACTAGGCATGTTGCTAAAACTATTGTCCTATATTGAAATATGAAACTTACATTTGATAGATTGAAAATTTATGCGTGATGTTCAACTGTTTATGCAATAAAATATATATTTATATATTCTCAGACTAAGTATGTTATCTTAAAATGAGTTTGAAGCCTCACTATTGCATTACGTTTCTTGTTGCGAAGTCTGGTCTTGCCTTAATGACACTTCATCTTGACAATAGCTTTACAGTATAATTTCAGTTTCAAAAGGTTCCATTGTAATGCTATCATGTCCAAAGTTCAACAATCCCTGTGTGCTTTCCATAACCAATCTAGTGTATGAGGAATAGGCTCTGTGTGTAGCAATGTGATCAGTGTGTCTTCACGTAGAATAGCATAAATACCAATTTCATTCTTCAGCTGCTTGAAGTATGTGAGAGTTGAATGGAAGGTATGAGTGAAAGCTTATCGTGGTGAACCCAAACCTTGTTGGTCTCATTTCCAGATAGTCATCCTTCTTAATTAAGTGGTGTACTCTCCTCGAGATGGATTCCTGTACATGGTGAGGGGACCTCCCAGGGAAGGTTCTGTATTTTCAGTTACCTTCTCTGGGATCTGAACATTTACCCATGTGTTTGCCTTGCAAGGTGACCCGTGAAAGGGTGGAGAGGATCCTGGTAATTGTGTGGTGTCTGGTGCACTGCAACACACCACTTTGGCTTTGAATTCCTGTAAATGGGTGCCCCCCCCCCAGGGTCAGTTAGCTGGTCCTGTTGGGCTAGAGTCAACTGAGTACCAGTATTAAGCATTCTCAAGCATGTTGTGGACAATGTATTTGGTGTTGGTGTTTGGGTATAGTGCTCACGAAGACCTGACGTTGTTGCAGTGTCCTTGTTTGGCATTATTGTGTATCCCCTCGTAGGACCCCATGGTGGGTGAGGTTAGTGGGAACTGAATCTTTCTCCTTTCATTATGGTTCCCCCAAATCCTCAAAAAATAAAATAGTAAAAAAAACAGCTAATTGGTAAATTACCACGCCTTGAACACTCTGGCCACGAAGCTTCAACATATTCTGAACCTTTACTTCGTTTTTTGATCTTGTATTCCTTGTCAGACAAACTTTTAGGGCAAATGTTTCCTTTGTTTTATTCAGAAGGAATTAGGGGGACTTGCTGGTTCTCCAAAGTCAGTTAAGAAGCTATGTTCTGGGGACATCTTAGTGGAAATATCTACACCAAAACTCAGTGAACTCCTCCTGAACTTAAAGGACATTGGGGATATACCTATTGAGGCTACTCCCCATGCTACTTTGAAATCCTCACGAGGAGTTATTGTTGAGAGGGATTTGAAAAACATCTCCAAGTCGGAGATCCTCACTGGTTTCTGCAGTGTAACATATCTCCATTCATAAAGAAGAAATTTTGCTGTCTACCAATGTTCTTAATTTGATGTTTACATTGCCACTTTCACCTGCCACTGTCATGGCAGATTATCTGAACTGTAAGGTACAGCCATATATTCCCAACCCTCTCAGATGTTTCCAGTCTCGGTGGTTTGGTCATTTGAAGGCATCTTATCATGATTTTGTGACGTGTACTTGTGGTGGTGGCAAAGACCACGACGTCCACAAGTGCTAACTGGACCATCACTGTGTTAATTGTACTGGTTCCCACCCCTCTTACTATAGATCTTGTCCTAAGTGGATGGAGGAGAAAGGAGTACAGCATTTATAAACAGTTACATTTCTTATCTGGAGGCTCAAGAGTTGTTGTCCCTGACTCCATCACGGACATATGCTGCTGCACTCCATTCCACTGCTACAGTGAGTGTGCAGGCACAGCTTTCCATGCCTCACTCAGAATCTTTTTCACATCATATGAAGTGTCTTTTGCCCTCTGTGGACATACGAGTTGACAAGCCCATGTCTACTCCCATCTCTGTCCCCACCATTCATTCCACCTTGTGGTGTCTGCCTGCATCCATCTTCTTTGGCCCCGACATGCAGAATGGTTCTCCACCCAGTTCTCCTCCACTTAAGTAAAAATGACCACTTTGATACAGTTGGAACTGTCGAGGTTTCCTTTCTAATTTGGACGACATTAAGGCCTTGACTGATATTTTTCATCTTGTGTGTCTTTCCTTACAGGAAACATTCCTTAAACCTGCTTATACTGTCACCTTTCGGTAGTTTTCTGTGTACTGGAATGACAAGTTGTGTGATGGGCGAGTGCATGGAGTAGGTGTGCTGCTAGTTGACCAGTGCATGCCCACCTTGTCTGTGCAACTCGATACACCTTTGGAGGCTGTTTCATTGGGTCGTACCATCACTGTTTGTTCTCTCTACCTGTCTCCTGGAAAGACTTGTGATCAATCAGATCTTGATGCTCTTGTTGAACAGTTCCCATCTCCCTTTTTAATCCTGGGAGACTTTAATGGACACAATCCCCCCTGGGGTGGTTCTGATATTGATGGGAGGGTCGTTCTATTGAGTGTATGCTCTCGTATCACAACCTTTCTCTTTTCAATACTGGCTCTTATACTTATTTTCATGCACCCAGTCAGTCTTCCACTGTCATTGATCTATCTATCTGCTCCCCTTCACTTTTATCTCGCTTTTTTGGAGGGTTGACAGTGACTCCCGGGGCAATGATAATTTTCTATTGTCTTTAGGGAGATTGGCCATGGTCAATGCCACCCGACCCAAGTACCATGGTGGATGTTGGACCAGGATGACTGGTTCTCTTTCACCTCTCTCTCAGAACTTGATCCTGCTTTCGTTAGTCTTCCATCTATTAAATGCGCGAATACAGTAACTGATTGTTTCATTCAAACAGCTCTTCATTCTATACCTAATACTTAGACACATTTCCCATGGTATCCTCGTCCATGGTGGTCTCCCGCCTGCCAGCAGGCACGTAAGGCTCAGAAATGGGCCTAGGATATTTTTGCAGGTATCACATTCTTTTCAACCACACCACTTTCCAGTGGGCCCATGCTCGGCAGGTCAGACATCAAAGCTAAAAGGAATCTTGGATTAAGTTCATAGCTAGCATCTCTTCTACTGCCAGTTCCAAAGTCATATGGGACAAGATTCGGAAGGTCAGTGGGAGATTATTCTTCCCATCCCCTATCCATCTTGATCTCCAATGGCCAGGAAGTTGGTGATTTACAGAACATCGCCGATACTCTTGGGAACAGCTTTTCTCGTGCATCCAGCACTTCTGTTTCTTCCCCTGCCTTCTTGGCCATCAAGTCTCAGGCAGAGCGATCACCTCTTTCCTTTTGGGCCAATTGTCTCTATGACTATAATTGTCCTCTTACACTGGTGGAACTCAATCTTGCTCTTCATCAGTCTGGCAGTACATTGGTCGGAGCTAATGATGTTCACTATGAGATACTGTACCATCTCTCTCCTGCCTCTCTTGCTATTCTTCTGGTTGTTTTTAACCAGATCTGGCAGGAGAACGTTTTTCTTGATGCTTGGTGTCCCCCCTTTCTCTAAACATGGGAAGGATCCCAGGTTTCCTTCTAATTATCGTCCACTTGCTTTGACTAGCTGGCTCTGTAAGGTCTTAGATAAGATGGTTAATGCCGTGTCTTGAGTGTCACAATTTTCAGTATCAAGATTAATGCTATCACTACACAACTTCCTACTGTTGCAAACTGGCTCTATGACGACGACTTCCACATCTTGTGTCGGTCATCGAACATGATGTTTATTGAGCAGCAGCTTCAGACTGTCCCCAATCACTTGTTGAGGTGGACCACATCAAACGGTTTTACTTTTTCCAAAACTGTTTGCATACATTTTTGCCACCAGTAGGGCCTACCCCCGATCTCTGTCTTGGTAATGTTGTTCTTCCTGTGGTTCCTGAGGCAAAGTTCTTGGGCTTATCTTTGACCATAAGTTTTATTTTTCATTACTCACATAAAGCAGCTATGTGTCAAGTGTACAAGGGGACTGAACATCCTCTGTGTCCTCTCTTCTACCTGGCCTACCATGGCCAGGTGCTTAGTTGTGCTCGACTTACAATCTAAGGGTCACGGGTTCGAATCCCCGTCACACCAAACATGCTCGCTATTTCAGCCATGGGGCATTATAATGTGATGTGTCAATCCCACTATTTGTTGGTAAAAGAGTAGCCCAAGAGTTGGTGGTGGGTGGTGATGGCTAGCTGCCTTTCCTCTACTCTTACACTGCTATGTTAGGGATGGCTAGTGCAGATAGCCCTCGTGTAGCTTTGTGCTAAATTCATAACAAACCACTTCTTGGGGAGTGGA